CAAGTCATTACGTAAACCTAGACGCACATATTTATAGGCCTCCTCCCGGCGACCAAGACCATTTAGTGTCAGGCCTTTCATGGCCAATGTTTCACCATGTTCGGTGTATTTGGGATTTGAGAGAATTTGTTTGGCCAACTTCAGGCCATTTTTGTACTGCTTCATTTCGTAACATTTCTGAAAATATAAATGGATAATGTTGAGTGATTTAAACGCGATAGTTTATATTCGTAAGTTATAATTAAATATAATACATTTTTTGTATTACTACCAGTCTGTTTGGAAAGTATTCACGTATTGCTCAAGGTTCCCAATATGTCTATCTATTTTATACCTTCGAATTTCTATTCATTCTACTAGCATCTACTATAAATTATAACTGAAATATATGTATGTCCAATATGCACCCGGCGCAGTTATTGTTTTAAATCCCATGGTTATTATTAAACAGAACAGATATACACTCTAGATCTAAAAAGAAACGACTGATTACAATAGAAGACACCATAACTGCACTTGTAGTTTGTTTTGAAACTCCAACTCCATGTCTTCTTTTATACAAAAAATAATCATTTTCTTTTAATTATTTTCCATAACACATCACCGAACACAAGACAAACTAACAATAATAATCTGTCCCAGACAACTAATAGTGTCAAGCAAGCATGCATGAATGTTTAAAAATGGAATTATTGTTCTTTGCTTTCGTTTTGAGGCCAGTATCGCCCTCAACTTTGAGGTTATGTTTAATAAATTTGCACAAAATATTCAACGGAAAATTTGAGCAAACAGAAAACATTAACAAATTATTTAATCCAAAACATCATTCCAATTAACCTTGGCAATGTCCTACGATCCTGTTTAACCAATACAATATACACAACATTGGCCAAGCTAAGAAAATGGGAGGGGGTGGCATTTGCAGCACGCACACAAACGATAATAGCAAATACGAGCACATCTTACAAAACGATTTTCTTCAACACCGCGACACACAGTATATGGGATTGCCTACTTGATATGCGGTTGCTGTTGCAAACGTACCATTAACTTCCTAAAGAGAGCACTCTCTTTGGGGGGCAGTGGATCGCTGGAAGGCATATTTCCGTAGTTTGCCTATTCGATGATACTTTTTCTTGAAGAACACCGGTTACACTTTAAGCAAGCGAGCGAATCAGCACTCAATCGGTCGAAACACGCTTATGTCGACAAGAGAACACCAACACTCAGTTATACTTTCCAGATGATCCGCACTTGGTTCACTTAGACCGTCTAGAGCAAGTGGCTACTAATCTTTCCAGGTTCACTTGAATATTCCTTTCCTTTTGATGTATTTTATGTGGAACCACGAGCAAATCGTGTCCACTGCCAGTTCTGGTTGAAAATAGGGATTTAAAAGTCGACTTTGGTATAATCGATTAATCGACATTTGATAGGTATCTAAAGTCTACACATGGTTCCTGGCTGCAAGGTAAGGCAGATTGAAAAGGTAGCCATATCAATAATTAATTGAAAAGCTGCATCTCGAAAATAATTGCTCTGGGCCTCAATTTTTGTTCTATGAAAATAAAGGAAAGAAATGTCAAATGAAAAATTTTTAATTTAATATTTTCATAGAACAAGAATCCAGCCCCTGGTCAAGAAGAAACAAGTGCTCTGTTCCAGTACATGAATCTACTACAGTAGCATGAATTTACTAGTTTTGCAATTTTCTTCGATATCATAAAGAGAAAATCGGTTATCATAGTAAAAAATTTTACAATCTTGAAGTTCTGGAACAAGCCAAAGGATCTACTAGTTTTGCTGTCGTGTTTTACTTTTTAAATTCTTGTGGGTTCTGGAACCGAGCAAATGTATTAAACATATATTTTCTGTCGAAAAAACTACAACTTATTTTGATACACACAGGGTGAAATAAAAAAACTGCAACAAAGTCAAACGCCATTATTTTTACATTTTTTTTTTAATTTTATTGAATGAAAGCAAAAATATCAGAAATAGCATCAAATTTTAGAATACGTTTAGATTTGTTCGGATTGGTCACATTTGCCACAAATTATGGCCTTTAAACGGCCAATTAAACCGTCACACGCTGTCAGAATGTTGCTCTGTGGTATTTTGGCCCATTCCCGGCGAAGCGGTTGCTTGAGGTGATCGACACTTTGGTGCTTTTTAGTGCCAACCTTGCTTTCTAAACTTCTCCAGACACAATGGTCCAACGGATTGGTATCCGGAGATTTTGGTGGCCATTGTGCACTGGAAATGAAGCGAGGAATCTCATTTTGTTACCATTTTGGGTGGCGCGTGCTGAGTGCGATGGTGCTGAGTCCTTTTGGAATGTCCAAAGTCTGCGGCCAAAATGTTTGCCTGCCCAAGGATAATATTCGGCATTTATTCTGATGCCACGGTTGATTAATACGAGCGCAGAGCGGCCATCAGTTGTTATGGCTCCCACACCATCACAATGGCCGGCGCTTGAGTTCCGGTGGCCAACCGAAGGTGCACATTTTCAGCTGACCTCTTTGGCAAGTAAACACGATCATTTTGTTTGTTTACAAACTGCTAGGCAACGAATGTTTTCTCTTTGAGAAAACCAAATTTGGCAGTTCACCACTTTCGTCCAAGCGAAACAACTCTTTCGCTCTTTTGAATCTATTCTCTTTCTGCTGCGGTGTAAGTTCTTGAACTTTTTGGAATTTCAATGGCTTTACCCTGAGATCATTTTTCAATAATTGCCGAATGGAATATTACGATATGTTCAGCTCACGAGTCAAGAAAAATTAATAGATTCTTGCAGGTTCTGGAACAGAACACTTGTTATATTGTGCCATGCATACATTTACAAAAACGGTGTCTTTCAGATGATTTCTATAGTCTACCTTGAAAATTATTTGACATGTTTACAAATCATGTTTTGATTAAATAAAATACCCATTTTGTGATAAATCAAAACTTTGATTCAGTTTTCGTTTTTTATTGTTAATTAAGACAATTCTTGTAGGACTCCTTTCTCAAACTTATCCTACTGTGTATTCATCGTTTTTACTAAAACAATAGCGCGTTTAGATACTAAATATCACCCGAATTAACTCCCATTATCAGGATTTATTGTCTAATCCGAATTTATTTAACCAGATTTACCAATAGTACAATATAGAGGTAAGGTAAAGCTACAGCTGTTTACAGTTTTTTTTCTGAGTGTGTCCGACTTCTGCCAATTTTAGTTGTGTTCCAGTACTTTTTTGGTAGTAAAACTAGCAGAAGAGAGAACAGTTCGAAATGTCATTCTCATTTAGGTTTGCTCAAAAAATAAGGGAACGGAAAATTAGCAGAAATGCGATAAACTGTCAAAATTCAAAATTCCAAAAGTAAACAGCCTAAATCCGACTGGTGAAACCTTACTGAAAAGAGCGCCAACATTTAAAAAATGAGTATTGAAGACGATAGGTTAAAATTAATAATTTATAATAATAATTAATAATCTGATTCTTCATTCAGCCAGTCCTCTTCACTGCTGGAATCATCCAAAAGTGAATACATCAGTTGCTCCATATTTTCTCTTTTTGTTTTTTGCACGACAAATATTAGTTTTTCCTTTAGTTTTCAAGTTGATCATTTTCTTTATTGAAATGTATCAATACATTTTTCAACCTTGTTAGCCCTGCCAATTAAATGTCAAATTTACAATGTGCACATTTCTGCTCGGCCAAATTCATGTAGCTAAAACAAGCAGAAATGTGCACCACTCAGCGTCATTTTTTTCTCGAGAGAGCTGCAAGTTTTGCTAGTTTTTGGAGTACGGGAATGCGTTGTAGCAGAATTAGTGCTAATTAGTACTAATTTGCAGGTTCTGGAACACAACTTTTGTGTATGTACATATTGTTTTGAAATATAAAAACTAAAAAAAATTAAAAGTCAATGACTAAAATAAATGTACATGGCGGAACGCGCCCTATGAATATTAATCAGTTTTGCAATGGAAATGGAACATTGAATAGTTTTGCTCATGTTTAAAAAACAAAACAATCCGGGGTATTCACCATTTTAACGTATATGAACATGTGGGAAAATATCAAAAACATTAGAATATCTTGTTGCATCTCATTTTTAATAGTTCACACAGAAAGCGGACTTGGTTTCAGGGCTGTATTTCTGTAGTTTTACTAAGCTATTTTACCTACTTATTGTACCATGAATTTATCATTCAAAAATAAATCTTTTCACGACTGGATATATTTTGAATCCGGTGTGGAATCTACATACTAAAGGCGAGAATACATAAAACACTAAAACAACCAACAACTTTAAAATTTTATTTGCTTATGATAATCCATTGAAAGGTTCATTATTTTCCTTGCAGAAAGTAACCAATGTGAATAAACACTTATTGTTCATAATCAATTTTGGCTATTTATTGCATTATCTTTTGGAATACCTAAACAATAATCAACTGAGCTGCATTCACATCCTCCTAAGGAATCTAATAGACCCAGTGGGCTAATCTTCAATAGTATTAACGGTTTCCGTTGTCGATGCGAACTTGAATGCAAAACAGAAACACCACTCAAAAACCCAAACAAGTTATGAAAAAAATACTCAATTTTTTTAAATACATTCTCTGTTCCAGTACCTGCAAGAATCTACTAGTTTTCCAATATTCTTCGATATCATAAAGGGAAAATCGCTTATCGTGGTACAAACTTTTACATTCTTGCAGTTCTGGAACAGACCAACAATAAACAATTAAGAGTTAATAAATGTGATTTTAAAGTTTTCAGTGATAAATTTATGATTGTTTTGGAAAGTTTGTGCAAGCCATTTGTTAATTGTTAGGAAAGGGTACTATCCTAAAATTTATTCTATTTGTTACCTCGCATAAACACGGGGTTGGCCTATACAATATATCAATAAATTTCCCGACATTAGCCCACAGTGCAATTCAGTGTTGAACAACGATTGAAATTTGGATACACTTACGTTTACCAACACTTCCATTGCCGTCAGCTGTTTTCCTGACCAATTTCTAACCTAAGTGTTTTGTTATTGTTACGGAGCCACAACCATTTAGTTCTCATCTGGAAAAAGGAAAAAGAATTAACAAAATGAATTCCCTGACTAAAGCTGGAAGTTTTGTCTCTCAATCATTGCAATTTGCCGGATGTGGGGTATGATTTCCGATACTTTAGTTGTTAAATCTAACATTTATTCTCATTTCAGTTCCAACAAGTTCGCAACAAATGGGCGGATTGGAAAATGATTCGTGATGTAAAACGCCGCAAGTGTGTGACCGAGCATGCCAAAGAACGGTTGCGTGTTAATGCATTGCGGAAGAACGACATACTACCAGTAGAGTTAAGAGAAATTGCCGATGCTGAAATTGCTGCATTTCCCAGAGATTCCTGTTTGGTACGCGTTCGTGAACGTTGTGCCCTAACTTCCAGACCTCGCGGTGTAGTACACAAATATCGCCTCAGTCGTATTGTGTGGCGTCATCTGGCTGATTACAATAAATTGTCGGGTGTCCAGAGAGCTATGTGGTAAAAGCATACTCAAAGATATTGTTAAAATTGTGTGTTTATTAAAAATAAATGCTAAGAGTATTAAAAAATTAAAATACATTTGACGATATGTTTAATAATTTGCAATTCATTCAATGAATGGTAGTTCCTTCTCAAGCTCTTTTAAACTAAAGTTGTTGTAAGTTAAACTCATTGTTCGCTCATAACTGTCCTTGGCTATTTCCGGATAGCGCTTCGACATCTCCAAAATCGTTTCTGCGTAAATGGAAAGAAGAAATCGAATACATTATTTGTTTTAATTGACAAATAAAATATTTACCTTTTATTGTGGCCTGTAAACGTTTCTCTGGATTATCATAGTGTAAAAACAACATATCCATACACTGCTTCACAAATGTTAACCACACATCGTGATTAATAGCAGTCCTAGAAGCATTTGTGCTTTCAGATTTTTCGTTCTTCGCCTCTACTACAGGCTTCAATTTTGGAATAACAGAAACAGCTAATATTCTTATACCAGCAGAGGCATCATCTAAGCGTTGCAAACATCCTAAAAATATCTATATAAATAACTTTTCATCCAAACATTTTCTCTCCTACCATATGCTATAGGTTTCATATCCTCCAATGGTATCGAACCGAAATTACACAGACATTTGATGGCATAGTGACGCGTTGACACTGACTGATCCTCTAACAGACTGGGCATATATTTCGCTAAGCCAGGCAGAACCAAACGTGCTTCTTCAGCTGCCCCCTGTGATATGGCACAAAGAGTAGCGGTAGCCAAAGACCGCATTGCCTCTGCATTAGCTCCCGCCTTCCATATCAAATGAGGTTCAATAACTTCTTTAACGAACTCCTGCAATAGTTCAGAACTACGATTCAATGGTTTTCGGAGTGTTTTATGCCAGTCTAGCATTGCTATGGAAACGGCAGTAAATACTTTAACCTTTGATTCATCAGCACAATGTTCGAAAACTGTTTTCATTTTTTCTGTTATTATGTGAATGTATGGCTCACGAAATTGACCCAATTTAATTAGACCATATAGCAGCAAGATGGGCTCACTCAAGGCATCCAAATGAGCATCTATACTGTCAACATACATCAAGGCATTTGTGAAATATTTTTCATGTAAATCATCCACTGTGAAGTTATATCGTTTGGCAATAGCTTCCAAAATAGCATTGCCTTTAGTTTGCAGCTCCTCGCTATTACTTTGTTCTGATTCCAACGATAGTGCCATTACCTTTATTGTGGATGTATAACAGTTCCTGTGCAAACTGTTCAACTTCTCACATAAATCCGAGGAACAATCAGCAGAATAAATTGCTTCATTTTCGGTCTTATCTAAAACTGTTTCATTCATCAACAAAATGTACATTTGAAATCCGCTCTTCAGTGTTTGTGAAAAATCTGGCTGAACCAGTAAATCCATTAATCGGACATGGTCGTCAAATTTAATTTTCAAAGCGGATTTGTACATATAGTAAAAACATTTTAAATAACCCTCCTTGGCATTTTTTACTAAGCCATCAAATCCATGTTCACACCAGTCATCATAGTTCAACAGACGACCCATCAAGTCGGCAAGATTGTAGGCTTCCTGCGCCACAATATGTTCATTATCGCGGCACGCTCTTGCTACATCTGGATAAATTTCAAAAAATTTCGCAGTCATTGCAGCTTCGGCATGCAATACAAATTGATATAATAATTTAAGCGAATGTAGGCGAACATTTTCTTTCCAATCAGATGATTCTCGAGTTATCAAATTTAGCAGACGCAAGGACCTTTGAACAATAGCACGGCAACCAATAGTCGGACGTTTTATATCCACCGGATAGTTGGCTGGGGGTAAATCGGCGATTTCTTGCTTACTTAATTCTGCTTCATTTTCATCGTAGTACTGTTTTCCACACTTTACCCATAGAGGCAATATGTATTCACGTACTTCAGGCGATTCGTCTTTAAGGCTGAAATCGTAAGGAGTTAGTCAATCTTTTTTAAATCATTAATCAATTTAAAGGAAATATTATATTATTTTTATATATCAATTTATATATTATTATATATTATTTTTATATATCAATCATATTTTAATATATCAAATGTCTTACCAGCAGAGCACCAAAGGTATAAGCCTTTCGAAATATGAGTATCGGTCCCGCAACTCTAGCAAAAGCCTGATTCCCATTTCACCACATTCGCGACGAACTAAGGGCATTGAGTCCATAAGCAATGGAGAAACTTCCATTAACAATCGCGACAAGGCTTCGCCAGCATCAATGTGCAAAGCTACATAGCCCAAAGCATTCACGGCAGCTACACGAGCCTGAGAATGTTTGTGATTTAACATTCCATAAAGTGCTTTTGCTAGTGGCTCAGAGTGATTTCGAAAATTATGACTATCAATCGAAGACGCAAGCAGTGTCACACATCGACATGCCTCCCTCTGAACAGCGGGATAGGGATCTTTGAGAACTTTTATTAAAATTCTAACGATATCATCCACACAACCTTGAATGGAACATTTGTTGCCCGTCTGAATATATCGCTCGACCTGTTTGTTCAATTGTTTTATAAAACTCAGGCGAATTTCTTCACTTTCTTCCACCGTTTCCTGTTGCCCCAAGCGTTCGGCCAAAGTCGATACAATGTTTAGCAAGTGGAAGTCATTTGGTGGTAATCGTTCCATAAACTCGTTAACAGTTTCCACTGATTGGTCTCGGACACTTTCGTATTTGTCGCTGTAACATTTCAGCAAGTGCAGATAACACTCATCATAAATTTCCATGATATTGTCGTCACTGAATTCCTGGCGATTTCGGCATTTCATTTGCAAATCTTCTAGAGCTCCCAATTTGACCCTTCTCTCGTTGGATTGCAATTTGATGCAAATTTCTTCCAGACTCAAAGACATTTTTGCGACCGTTCAATTAGGATTTTCCAAGCAGTTCTTCCTGTCACAAATTCTTATTTGGATAATCAAATTTATTGTTTTCAAAAAATAACAAGTAACCATGGTACTATGATATCAAGGTAGGGCTATGATACCATATGATATAATTTTTTTTATTTTCTTGGCTTAAAATGTCATCTTTATTTGTTTATGTATGTGTTTTCAAAAAAATTGTTCAGAAAATATTCAAATTCGGGTGTTTTCAAAATGTTTATTTCAACGTATGCATCACAAAATCTAGAGTTTTTGTAGCGAAATAATCCTTTAGAGATATATAGGATATATAGTACACGATTTTGAAAAGAAGTGTTGACCTTTCATTCAGTTATCGCGGTTTTCAATTATTTATTCAAAATAAATGCAACAAGTTGTTTGATTTTTTTTTGTTTTTATACTAATTCTGACATTACAAGCCAAAGTTGACCTACCTTCTCTTCATTGTACCATGCAAGTAACTAACGTCCCAACGAAGCGAATATAAAGGCCAAAAAGCAATACTTGATAAAAAATAAACAGAAAGCAAAGACTCCGGGTACTCTGTTGTTTACGAATGAGTGTAATGCATAACGCCCGGGTACTCTGTTGTTTACGAATGAGACATGAGAAAATTGAACATCTTCACTAAAGAGCGCGGAACTAGCTGCTACTATCGTTTTTCAGTTTTTCCAAATGCTATCAAACTCGACTATGGACTTGGGCGAAACTTAGTTCTCGACTATTCATAGTCGATTGTTCGACTTATGCTATGTTCTCATTGCAATTTCAATCACACTGTTCGCTCTCCAAATTAGGTACACAAATGAACCCGTTCATACGGCATGATTCGTAAATCATAATAACATAATTCCTTTTTATACACTCCTCCATACTATGGAGGGTATATTAACATTGTCATTCCGTTTGTAACTCTTCGAAATACCCATGTCAGACCCAACAAAGTATATATATTCTTGATCAGCGTGAAATTCTAAGTCGAATTAGCAATGTCAGCCTGCCTGTCTATTGAATTTACAAGGAGAATGAATGCCATGTAACTTTTTTAAAAATTAAGAAAATGGAAAGTTTGTCTAGTTTTAAATTAGTCACTTTATTCATTTTTTAAAAACTTAAAACAAAAAACCCGAATTAAATTTTTTTATAAAAAATAAGGTATGGTAAAGCCAATTAACCTGATTTTGGCTTGGACAAAATAAAAGTAACTCTGTTGTACATTTTTATGATCGCTGCAATTTCAGTTGTTTTACTGCTATATTTATCGTTTTTTGCTTCCTTCAACAATTTCGCTTGTCATAACTCATTTTTGAGAAGTTTTTTACAAAAGCACGTGTTTGTTTCCGTTTTTTAAGTACTGCCCAAAAAGCTTATCAGTGACTATGAAAACAAGCAAGCTATCGCAGAAAATGATTTTCGAGAAATATTTCATAAATATTTCCGTGATTTCTAGTATACTAAGTGGGTTTTCTGATATATCATTGGATATAAGCTCGAGATGAGTGCGTAGACGAGTAGTGCAGTTGGTCTGCATGCCCGTAAGCCATCAAAAAAATCAATTATATCTGAAACAAATAAAACAGCTGTAAGTTCGGCCGGGCCTTTTAATACCCTCCACCATTTGGCACAAATTTGCCAATTTCCAAAAAAAAAAAATCCGTTAAAAATTCTGTTAAAATCTTAAAAATACCGAATGCTTATACGACGACGTGGGCCTGCATAGGCAACTTTTGTCATAAGTTATTACAATATTTAAATGCGAGACTTGAAGAAAAATCTGTTTATAATGTAGCTAAAATCATCAAAATACCGAATATGGGGGGGGTACCGTTATATGGGGGCTATACGAGGACGTTGACCTGCACAGACAATTTTCTGGCATGGGCTGAAGTATCCATTACGAACTTCACATGCGAAATTTGAAACAATTCCGGTGAATAATGTCGCTAAAATCATCAAAATACCGAATATCGGGGGTTAGGTTATATGGGGGCTATACGATATCGTGGACCTATATAGATAGTTCTCTGCCGAGAACTTCCCTCAAGGAACTCCTTGTGTGGATTTTCAGACAATTCCGTTGAGAAATGTGGGTAAAATCATCAAAATACCGAATATCGGGGGTACCGTTATATGGGGGATATTCGATATCG